TTTATTTTTTTATGCTAATCTTTATTTATGTACATAAGGAAAAATAATATTATTGGTAGAATTAATCCTATTAATAAGGAACCATGAATACAAATCCATATATCCAAGTGAGATGATTTGATGATCCATAAATCATGGATACATCACCTTATATATAATCCAAATCTGATATTCTTCTAACTGCCAGTATTGAAAAATATCTTTAATATTAATAATTTTTTACTGATTTATTAAGGATGCATAATTTTAAATATACAAACATAAAGCAGTAATTGAAATAATTCTACTCTAAAATTTTTAGTTTTTTAGAATTGATATTAATGAAAATCCAATAAAAATAATCAATATCTAACAGACAATAATTCCAAACATTACTAATATTCTACTATAAATTAAATCTATCCTTTTTATTTCCGCTACCAGACATTCAAAAAAATTAGCCATAAAATATGAAGTATCATTTGATGGATTACAATGTTTAAAGATAGTGAGAAATTAATATTATATGTAAAAATGAGTGAAAAAATCCATAAATAATTAAGAAATAATTTAAGATAAATACTTCATGATATAATATATTTATTTTATAATACCTTGTTAGAGTTTGAATAAAATTTCTGCAAATTTTTAATTTTATCTAAGCTTAAGCTATGCATATAATTAATTTGTTTATTCAATGCTGCTAATAGTTAATAGTGTTGAAAGAAGAGCCCTAAAAAATATTAATAATTTATACCAAATTGATACTAAGAAAAAGGCTATCAATCTCTTTGAAAGTTCATCACACTGTTAACAATCTAATTATTACTAGTTTTTAAAGAATTAACCATCTCCTCTTAAATTATATCTATCACATTCTTCACATAATGCTCCTATATGACCTTTAAAGCAAAGGTCATCACCTATTACCCATCCTCCTAAATAATGATTTGGATTTTTATAAACAAAATTCTACATTTTCTGTAATATAACTTGGCCTCCAAAATCCAGGCTTTAAGTTAATTTTATTAGATGTAATGGCTTCAAATTTATTTTGATCAAAAAGTGAACATTTTGTACTATTATAAGTCACTGAATAGAATCCTTATTCTGATTAACATTTTTGGCATCCATGAGAAATATAAAATTCACCTAATTAGCATAAGAAGCTTTTAACTTTCATTCTATAAGCCAAACTCTCTTATTGATATTCTGTTTTACATAAAACTAAAATTTCATATATCTTTTTATCTTATTGGTTGTATGGATCCATATTAAATTATAATAAACCTAGATTAAAGCCCTTAATTTAATGATTAAAATTTATTGTTGATATTGTATTCAATTCAATTACTTTTTAAGATTTAATATCAAAAATTTATTATTGCACATTGCTTGTAGAGTTTAGAAAGTTTATTTGTTGTTCATTCATACTATTCTTAAATTTAATTGTAAATTCATTTATACATGATTAATATATTAAAACCTGAGGATTATAAAGTTCAAAATTCAATATTTATTAACCACTTGGAATAAATAAAAAATTAGTTTATATTATATGATCTTAAGATATAATATTAAATGGTTTTATTTCTAAAACTTAATATGAACTATTTCCCATTATTCTTACTTATTAATGCATTTCTACCTAATTTATAGATAGAGATAAATGATTAGGTAATTCATTAATATTATTTGAAGCCATCTTAGCAAAATTAAATAAGAGTAGAGACTACATAAAATTATTTGTATTTAAACTACTATTTCCACTTAAATAAATACCTCCTGCCTCTTCTGCTGAATTATTAATAATTATAGTAGATTTAATAATAAATCTTTAAGTACCTTCTTCAAAATAGAATCCACCTCCACTAAAAGTAGCAAAATTATAAATAATTTTTGAATTTGATATTTTTACTCTTAAATTTTAGACTAAAATTCCTGATCCCAATCTACCTATGTTAGAAATAAAAGTAGAATGTTTAATTATTAAAATGTTTTCAACTCTCATATTTGATTTAGCCCATATACAACCATAGTCTTTTATTGAATTCTTAATGCATGATAATTCTGATATTTGAAATTACTGAAAATTATTCAATTCAAAGTAAAGTAAACCATTCTGACAATATGAACAGTTATTATTTAATAACATAACCTTTGAGAATGATACTTTAGTTTTATCTGTAACAGTCTTCATATTGATTAAAGACCCGTTTTTATTCGAATAACTAATTAAATCATCAAAAAAGGTTTATAAAAACTCTTCTGCACGAATCTTTTAGACTACATAAATACTTTTCAAGCTGCATTAATGAAATTCAAATTCAATATGATTCTAATCAAAAGATTTTAAATTCTTTTAAATTTATGCGAAATCTTTTAAATTTGATATTGTAATATTATTAAGATATATTCTTGATTGCTAAATATTATTATTTTATATATCCACTAAATGCAAAGGATAGAATGTTATAACATCTATAAATTTACAATTAATTAATGAAATCAATTTTGAATCTAAAACTTTTATTAAAGAATATAAAACAATTCCTTCAATTGGTATTCCATTTAGCAATAATTCACATCCTTAGAAATTCATTATTGCATTATTGCTAATAACTTTTTGAATTTCAATTAGACTTATTGATCCAAGAGATTAAAGGAAATTCATTAAGGCGTGAACATTCTAAATTATCATAAAATTTTCGATATTCACTTTATTTTATTAGGCATTTTAAAAATCAGCTTCAAAATTTATTATTTAATTAACAAGTGAAAAACAATCCTTGGCAAATATATTTCTAATTTAGATGTTATTTTATGCAGATGAAGGATATATTGAAAAAATGGATGATGATAGTCTATTTTAAACATCTTTAAAAGTAATATTTTAAAGATTGATAAATAATAAACTATTCTTGCCATTAATTGTAAAAGCGCCATCATTTTGAACTTTGGAAGTTAGTAAATTGTATGCATGAATAATACTACAGTTTTATATAATTACTATTCCATCTCCTTATGTATTGATATTAAATACTTGACTACTTAAAGTATTTATATAATTGAATACTCCATTGAAAATCGTGAGTTTAGAAACAGTTGTTGATAAAACTCCCCCAATAATCTCAATTTTAAATGATTATGAAATAACATTAGTAATTTCATTTTAATTATACTCCTCCTATAACTCAATTTCATAATATTAAATCCACAATTCTTAATCAATGTAATTATGATTGGAAACCTAAAAATTATCTATTTAGATTTCAAATAAAAATAGAGAAAAATAGGACTAAGAAGAATTTGTCAAAGTATTATTAAAACAATAGATATTAGTTAACATCATGAAACTCTAAGGTGAATTGACATATAAAAGACTCGCTGAAGTTTTTGATGGATCTTTATTATATTAATGAAGGATATTCTACTCATATAATAGATTATCGATCTTTATAAATTAAGGCTTTTCAGAATATAATTCAATAAGAGAAAAAATTATTCCTAAATATTATTGTATTAAAATATTTCCTTTCACTTCCACATCTTTAATGAAAATTTACTCATTCTAATTTAATATAGTTAAAGGATTAGATTATATGGAAATTATTGAATAATCTATGCTAAACTAATTTTTTATTGTAATTCTATTTAAAGTAATATTAGTGAATCCAGAAACTTATAGTAATTATGAACGAAAAATACAATTTTTGAAACAATCAGGTGATATTTGAACTTTCTATTCCTAATGCCAATTATAATATACGATGTTTTCAATTATTATCAATGGAATGACTTATAAGGAAATCAAACGATAATTCTTAGTATTTCTTAAAAAGATATTTTTGATAATTAAGCTAAAACTGTTAATGGTTATAAGAAACTACTCTTAATTACAAGAAATAATATTATCCTCAAAATAAAGGTTTTGTAACAAATACCTAACTTAAGATGTTGATTATTTTTATTCTGTATTAATAATCTTCTAAATTTATTTATTTTTATTAATAGCTGAAATTAATAATAAATTAAATAAATATAAAAGGAAAATAAAATAAAAATTGATTCCTAATATATAATAAAAAATAAAGAAAAATTTTATACAGTATTTGCTAGAATCGAAATGTTATTCATCTAAATTGCTTAATTTAAGAGTACTGATGAGACCTATGAAATAAATTAAATTGAAATTAACTTGTTTCCGTTCATGAAAATATTACTACAAAAAAAGTCATAATTAAAAATGATAAATTTCGAATTAATTATCTAATTTTAAATAATTTAAAAATTGCTGATAGTTATAACAGTTTTTTCAACACTATAGATAAGATTTAAATTATTAAGTAACGAGTTTACGATAAGCATCCCTTTAAAAATAATGTTAGATAACTGATTCTGAGTTTGATAGAAATGCATTATTGTTGAATTATAAAATTCACAGGAATCAATGGAAAAGTTTTCAATATGTATGCTTCTTCTAATATTTTATAATAAAAATATTGTAGAATTAGTGAATCTACAGTTTTAAAGTTGAAAATTATTAATTATTATTTCAGCGTTTTAATCTGCGCAAATAAGATTAAAAACTATTGAATTCTCAATACTAATATTAAAAATTGAAACATTTTATATATTTACATTAATGAAGCTCTCTCCTAGAATAGACATATAGATTGGAGAATTTGTATTTGAATAAAATTGTGTGTTAACTACCTTTAAACAATTGATAAGTCTCTATTTTTAAATATTAAAACCAACTCCTTCTATATCAGAAAACTCAGATGATTTAATATGATAACATCATATTTTAAAATTGACAATTTAAATTGATCAGTCATTAAATATATAGGATTTGATCTGCCCTGAAGTTTTACTTTTTTTTATTACACTGAAAATATATTTTCTTTGAAAGTATTTTCAATAATTTATTCAGATCGGTAAATTTCACAATTGTATTCTGGTAGTTGAAGTGTTAATGTCATATATTTAAGCCCTATTTCATTGAAATATTGATAATTATAATATTGACTTAAATCAGATTGAAAATTATCCAAATAATTACAATAAAAATCCCCCTTAATAAAATACTATAAATACATAATTCATTTCTGAATTGTAGTTGCAATTATTTTAAAAACAAAATTATGCAATTTTTAAGTTTTGGTTTAGAACAAAAAAACTTTCTTGAAATATTACTAGATTCACAAACAGAACACATTTCATCACAATATTTTTTGCATACATATTGTATTTTTTCATATCCTTTTATACATTAGGTTTCCAAGAACCTTGGTCTCATTAATTTACCATTAAATAAAGCCGAATTAGGTAAGTATTAAATTACAAAACCTTTAACTAACCATTTCCAAGGTTCTAAATTATTCTCTTCAAAAAATTGTTTTGCAAATTCAGCAAATTAAACATTTTGTAGTTTTTTATGGAGTTTAGATGCATTGCATACAATTTAAAAGGTGAATTTGACAATTTATTATTTCTAAAGCAAAACTGAAATCATTAATTGCGGATAATATGCAAATTTCTTTTTCGTCTTAATTAATATAAGATCTTAAACAATTTTATTATGATGGCTTTTATAATATGCATTATCCTATTTTGAAATCAAAAACAAATTCCTCATTACATTATGCACAACCTTCTTTAATCTCTTCATCTATTAAAGTTTAAACTTGATAAAACTCTAAAGTAGTTTTTTTAGGATCACTTACTAAATAATTAAAACAATATAAACAGTTCTTGATTTTACAAGTAACACATTTTTTATAAAAATCTACAAAATTAGGAGGTTCGCAAAATTTATTCGTTCAAGAAAAATGAAGGTGGAAAATATATTTCTTAGGAGTTTAAACATTTTAAATTTGTTGCTATAAGGTAACATTTTAGACAAAATTCTGGGCATTAATAACAATCATTTTGTAGTGATTGACAAAATCTTTTAAATTTAAATATCGATTCAACTTGATCAACTTAAATTTATGGTTATTTAATTGTATTGCAATCTGAACAGTATTGTACATCTTGTCCTACTAAAATATATTGCAATTTTTGATCTGTCAAGTAGTTTGAAGTGTTTCCATAGTTATCTGTCGTTAATATTGTTTAACAAAAAAGAATTTGACCCCATTATTTAGGATTTTATACACATTCCAAACATGTTATAACATTGTTGTTAATTATTGATGGACTTATCTATTATATAATAATAATACCATTAATAGCACTCATTATTTATTTCAAAAAATCCATATTGACATTCTTCTTTCAATGATATTTCTTAAATTAAGTCAAATTATAAAGATTAATAATTGATACATAGATCGTTCAACTCAATAGTTCCATAAACACAGATGCATTCTTTAAAATCTGGTAAATATATTCTATTTGATGATTCAAAACACACAATCTTTTTTTGTTGGACCATCACATTCCTTACAATTAGGATGGCAATTTATATATGATTGATATCTTTCTAGACAATTTAATAACTTTAAACCTACAATTTATATATTTAAATAATTTAATTTAGATTATAAAATATTACCATAAAGCAATTTAAATTAAACCATATTAAATTGATTAACTTCTAAATTCATATTAAATTTTATTTGATCAAAACCTTAGTAAAATGTTATTGAAATTGAAATAGAGGTTTCTGTCTTTTTTACTAGGATATAATGCCATAATTAGATATCGCAAGCTATGTCGAATGTTTATGTCTTTAAAAAGGGATCGTTTGAAAAATCAATATTAACAACCGGAAATGTAAAACTATATGTTGTGACAATGATTTGGTTTCCTAAAGATGAGATTTTGTAAAATAACTGAAATTAACATAAATTTTCTGTGATCATTTTTGGATTATTAAAATTGCTTGATAATTTAAACAATTAAAAATAAAATTCATCCTAGTATTATTAAATTTCCATAATTTTTATCCAACTTGATAATAAAAATTCTTAATTATTTATTTGTTAGAGTAAAAATTAAGATAAATCTTAATTTTATATTAAAAAATCGCCTATTTCAGTTCTTGGATTTTATTAACAATCACTGTACCTTTCAATATCTTAAGTGATAATCTCTTCGAAATAGTCAGGCTCATTTAAATAAGCATTAATTAGATACATTATTTTTCCTGGATAGAAAGAAAGTAAACTATTTTCAAGTGTATAAAGTGGTGAATTCTAACTTACTTTGAAATCCCCTCCAACTATTAAGTTAGGATTTATTTTATTATCTTAAAGAAATTCAATTTAAATTGATTTTGAAAAAAATTAAGTGTTTTTTTCTTATATAATAACTTGTTTTTATGAAGGAATAGTTATGAATCCATAAAAATACAAATAAATTCATATGATACTTAATTGATTGGTATTTCCTCTTTAAAATCACTACCATCTCTACCTAAAAATTAAACATATTTCTTGATTGTTTTTTATTCAAAATTGACACAATCATATTATATAAAATACAATTGATTATTTATCTAATCCTAAATTCTAAACTCATGGAAACAACTACTATCAAGTATTCCAATCTCTCCAATTTATACAACATTACTTAATGGTACATATTTACTCCAAACTCCAAACCCTGCACAATTCATACCGAAATCCATATAATTTTCTATTGATTTAATAACAAGTGGATAATTTGATGGTAAAGTTATTATTTACTAGGATAGTGAATACTAAAAAATTATTATTGTTAGCAAACGTGATGAAATTCTCATTCCTAAAAAATTTTAATTTAATTTATTTTAAATCATTTAGATGAATATGAATCACATAATTAATAATAAATATCATTTAATTATCTAATATTTTAAAAATAATTTTTATTTATAGTACTTGATTTTTTTATATACTAATCATTTTTCAATTTATGGAATTCAAGATACTTGGACTCATTTTTCTTTTATTTTAACTTTTACTAATAATTAAATTAAGAAAATATAGATATGAGTACAGATGGATAAATTTTAAGAATGTATTTTATATTTTTCTCCTATTTAGAGATTAAATCATAGACATTTCGAAGCAAACTAATATAATGAATAATTATGAATAAATAAAATACTTATAGTTGGTTGGACAATACGGATAATAAAATAAAAGCTTAGCTTATTGATAAGTATATATGAAGAGAAAACAAGTACTTGAATTACGTAAATAGTATATGGAATAATTGACATGTATTTTTCAATGATATTATACATTAAAGATGGTAAAAAAGCTGGACAATTAAAAACTTTTAGAGATTTCAAATTATCACCTTTAAAGGTAAATATAATATTATTGGTCATAAAATTGGTTGGTGGAGTTTTTATGTTGAGGGGAATGCAAAGAAAAACATTATTTTAGTGGAGGTGAATAATATGAAAAAAAAAGTAGGTAACTTCTAGAAAGCTTGAAGAGTTAGCAGAATCAAGGAAATATATAAAATTATTTGAAGTAGCGAATTTAATATGATTAGTAAACAATTTGATATACATTTAGAGCCCAGTAAACATTTTCAGAATAAAGTGATTCAGAGAATTTGAGAACATTTATATTTATGAACATTCAATAGTATAAAAAGTTATATATTTTTGATATTATCTTATCTAAAACAGCTATAACAATTTTGGCAATTTATTGTCCTATCCATTAAATATTTTCTGATTAGAATTTAAGAATTTTGTTTATTAAATTAAATAAATGAGCATTGATATTTTTATACATTCTCAATATTATTTTTCATTCTTCTTCTTTAATTACATCTTTTGTCCTTAAAATTTTAAATAAAGAAAAAATTTGAGTAATTTTATTGGAATTGACCGTTAAAGTTGAAATTTCTCTTGTCCTATTTTCAAATTCTTTGTGCTCATTTTGATAAGAACTGCATATTATTTGATCATTATTATTAAAAATAACTATTTCTTAAACTGATTGATGATTATTGATTATATTGATTTCTATGTCAAGATATTAAAAATTCTAAAAAAGAGAAAAATTTTATTACAGTAGTTAAGAAAGCATGATAATTAACAATTTTTAAACAATTTAAAGACATGAACAATTGATTTTAATAACCAATAATAAAGAAAGAATTAATGGATTTATAAATCATAATAAAATTAATTGTTTGTAAATATTTTAAATCATTCTTATATAAAACAAGAGTAAATTCATTCGCTTTTTTTAATCTATATTTAAAAAATAGCTTCATTCTTTACTAATTATATAAATTTATAAATCTTGATCGCTTAATTATTATACTAAAGTTTAAAACATTAAATCTCATTTATTTATTTTAAGAGATTGCACATATTTAATTATCAATGTTAAAATAAATTATCATTCAAAAGCTACTAAATAATATTATACTTTGATAAATATTTTATTAAAACGCCAAGTAGTTTAGAGGGAAAACGCTACCCTGGAGCGGTAGAGATCCGAGTTCAAGTCTTCGGGTTGGTGAATTTTTTTTTTATTAATTCTGATAAATTTTATTAATAATTAAGTAGCCTAAAATCTATAGTTGTTTTTTTTGAGAGTTGTTTCACAAAACTTTTTTTGTTTTATAAGTCATTTTAATTGTCTTATATACAAGAATGATTATAAAAAAAAATTTTAGATTTAATATTTTCAAGTGTCAACTAATTATAAATAAAAATACACGATCTTGAAATTAAGTTAGAGCAATAAAAATTATATAATTAATATTATTAACTTTATTTTTGATTATATTAAGGATAGATTAAAAAACTTATTTTATCTTAAGGAAAATAATTTTAATTTAGATAATATATTAAATAAAGCTATAAAAGGTTGTTAATAATTTTACATCTATAACTTCCACTTGATTCTATTTTTCATTATAATAACCTTAACTTGATGAAATGAATTAATCATTAATCAATTCTAAATTTAATTATCTTATTTTTCAAAGAAGCTTTTACAAAACCCCTTATTTATTTGTTTTATGGTTGAAATATTATATATTAAAAACAAAGTATTTACCCGATTATTTTTATGTAATGTAAGAATTTGAAACAACTATCTTCAAACCATTAATTTGAAAAGAAGAAAAGATAAAAAAAAAATATGAATTTTATAGAGAATTTTATTTCCCTTCAAATTAACTAATAATGCAAGGAGTTATTTCATTTAAAATAATTGAATTTGTTGAAAAGAATTTTGATTCAAAGAGTAGTGAATTGATGTAAAAATTAAATTATTTAAATCTAATAAGAAATTTAAAATGCTTAAATTTATTTAATTGAAGACTATTAAAAATAGTGAATTTGTTTAGTTGGAATATAATTGTTAATAAAAAAATGAAAATAATAGTAATAATTTTGTAACATCCAAATATTAATGGGTCTCTGAAACTAAGAGGAGTAAGTTTTGTCTGAAATTAAGACAACTTCTTTATTTATATGTTATGATGTTTATTAAAATAATTTACCAATATCACTCTAATCGGTAAATTATTATGCGAATGTCTATTTGATTTAGCAATAATTAAAGGAAGCAAAATAGAGTATGAATTGGATATGATGTTTTGGAATGTAATTTATTGCGAAAAAGAGTAACTAATTTTAAAATCTGAATTTTATTATATATAGTTTTATATATTCTAATTATTTCATTGAAACTTCTATCTATAATTTTTTAAAAACAAAAATATAAAAA